CAAAATTACATCTCTACAGTGTATAGCATTCAGCAAATGATCAGTAATCAGTAGCTATTTTTATCGTTTGAGGCACAAACTTCAGATCTATGATAATGACAGTAATTTGTAAAAAAGAATCCTAGAACAGAGGAGTTTTGAAGGTGGTCTAACTTGAACTCTCTACTTGATGCAAAATTTCCCTCAATATATGTAGTTCCTTCTTCTTCACCTGAATAAGTGAATCAATGGCTATAGCTACTTAGCTTTCTAATGCACTTGGTTCAATAATCCGATTTTATAAAATTTTCTTACATATAACTTTATAAAGAGGCTGAAATTCATTAAATCCTTAAGTTTATGTATTTTATTTTTTTATACTTGATCTTAGCCAAAAGGTTGAGAAGCTTTCGTATTTTATTTTATTTTTTTTAAAGATTTTGAGAGACGGCGTGCACGCATGTGGGCGTGCTCACAAATGGGGGGAGGGGCAGAGGGAGAGGGTGATGTAGACTCCGTGCTGAGTGGACAGCCTGATGCAGGGCTCCATCCCAGGACCCTGGGATCATGACCTGAGCCAAAGGCAGACGCTTAACTGGCTGAGCCACCTAGGCACACCAAGTTTATGTATATTTTAAACTAAGATTTTAATTTTAACATTATAAGTCCCAACTTTTCAAAATTAAAACAGTTGACTCAATGAAGTATCTGTCTTAGAACTTCCTAAGTAACCCTATTGCTGAACCACAAACATAGCCAATTTTTTTTAATCCAAAAATACCATATTACACACAACTGTTGGTAAATACTCTTCAAAGAAATCTTAAATAATATCCATCCTAAAACAAGACAATTTCTACATGGACAATATCACTTACCAAGGGTCTTATTTATTTATTTATTTAGATTTATTTATATGAGAGAGAGGGTGGGGGGCCAGGGGGGTGGGCACAGGAAGGGGAGAGAGAATCCTCAAGCACACTCCCCACTGAGCATAGCGCCCTGTGCAGGGCTGGATCTCAAGACCCTGCGATCATGATCTGAGTGGAAATCAAGAGTCAACAGCTCAACCGTCTGAGCCAGCCACATGCCCCAGAAGGGTCTTAATTTCCAAAGAAACTATGAATTACAATTTATGACACATGCTAAAGTAGTTGTAAGGTACAAAAACCTGAAGCCATTATTTACAGCCATGAATCCAGGTAAAGAACACACAGTTCCTGAAATACACCTGCCCTCCTTCAGCTTGAACATTCTCTTATTGTCTGATAAAAATCCTTCCTTGTTCCTGTTACTCTCAACTGCTCTGAAGAGAAAGAGATACAACGTCCCTAACTACCAAACGGCCCAACTGAAGAGGGGACTGGGGACTGTATGACGCAGAAGTTGCACTGGCTTTGCCCCAACACGGAACTCACGTCCTCTCAGCAACTCCTCTATGAGAAATTGCTTCAGCTACAAGACAGACCGCAGGTTATTCTTTGAGAAATATCTGACTTATATGATAGAAGGGATTTCAAAGAGTTCCAGCTCAGCAGTCTTTCCTAAGACTCAGTCAATCTCTGTCTTGGTTTTCTCACCGAAAGTGGGACCTCCCAGGGCCACCGGGGTGGCTCAGTCAGTTAAGTGTCTGCCTCAGGCTCAGGTCAGGATCCCAGGGTCTTGGGATTGAGCCTCATGTCCAGCTCCCTGAGAAGCGGGGAGCCTGCTTCTTCCTCTCCCTCTGCAGCTCCCCCTGCTTGAGCTCTCTCTCTCAATACACAAATAAAATCTTTAAAAAAAAAAAAAAAGAGAGAGAGAGAGAAAGAAAATGGGACTCCCCAAACATGCATTTGAGGAGAATTAAATAATACATGTGAAAGCACTTGTATAACTGTAAAGTATTTATGAAATACTCGTTCAGCAGAGAATTCATATTTTTTTGTCTCATAGGGAAATTCAACTATCAGCACGTAATAATTTAGCAAACAAAAGATGCTCTTTTGGCTTTAAAAATCCCTTTTTTCTTAAGATAAAATTTATAAATGCATTAAAAAATGTTAAAAGTTGAGTACTGGATAATGAAAACACGTAAAGCAAATCATTCAATGTGAAATTAGTATTATTTTAAATTTCTAGAAAGATTTTTGTTCTGTACTTTCAAACTCAAGGGAAATCAACATTATGAAAAAATTCTCAGAACCCAAGGTCATGTCTCCTGTACCTATAATCATTAATGTGGTTTACACTGGCACTTATCCTGACTCAGAGAAAGGTAACAAGCTTTAGGAATAACAAGTCAAGCTTCAGGCAAAAGAAAATTTTACATCACATATTTACCCACATTTAAGTTGCTATGGACCTGCTGGAGACATGAAAGAATATGACATGACATTTCTTAAAAATAATCAACCTCACATCCTGTCATTACTATAGAACCAAAATTGACCATTTCAAAAATTCTCTTCAACCATTTCACTGAAAGCTTTCATTTTCCGTAAGACAAAATAATGGTAACTTCTGAAAGAACTCAGTTTCTTCGTTTTAACAGTTAGCTCTTCACACCTCTTCAACATTTTTGACTAAATGAAAGGCCACAGAATATAACAAATAGATCTTCTGTTTTTCCTACTACATCATTAAATGTAACATAGGTAATTTTGTGAATTCTCTAACAGAACGAGACCAATTAGTTATATCAGAAATGCAACCACAGTTCATAGTTGGAAAAAAGACAACTTTCTTATTACAGAAAAGGTCATGAATAAACTACTACGTCAGAACCATAATATACAGGCAAAATTTATAAACCTTCAACAAAGACTGCTAATAACACAAACAGAACTTTTGCTTCCTGAGAGTTCTAAATAGTTCCTGTGTGTTTTGCCATGAGATTTCATCACTTTTCCCACAGATAGAAGCATAAGGTTGTGCAGATTTTCTTACTTTTGCTTTCTGGTTACATGTAAAAGAACATTTATCGTTAAACAAGGAATTATATTTTTTGAGTGCTCCCCCTAAGAAAGGCAGAGTCTTCATGCTATACATGTGTTCTATTTAATTCTCTCCACAACTATGAGGCAATAAATGGTTAGGTAAGTTACTCAAGTACACATAACTAGTAAGTAAAGAGCTAAGATTCAGCCACAGCCTGACTCCAAAGCCCATGGTCTTCACCACTGCATTAAACTTCTCCGTGACCCTCCCCCCAAAAAAAGGTACCAAAAAGAAACAAATACATTAACTTTGTTTTTCAGTTTTAGGCTCTTATATCAAGTAGCTATCTAATTGCATCGTTCTGCTGCTTCAGGAATTATTACTTTTGTAAGCAAATTTATGTAAGCATCTAAATATATATAATATATATGTAAAAGATAAAACAAATACCTATAGGCAAGTGAATTTTATAAGAGATAGAAACAAGAATTGAAAAGAACATTCCTGGTGGAATTAGTTATCAACACCTGGTAGGGTATAAATCAATTTTTTCAGATTAAATCATTATTATTATAAACTCTACAAGACAGTGCTTGCCACCTGAAGATATTTCAGTTTTGTAATACCAGTTTTCCTTTTGTGGAATGAAGGCAGACAACCAAATAACAGAAAGCCTTAGTTTTCCTCTTTCAAGCGATCAGGGCTACTGCAGAATGTCTGGAATTTCGATGAATTAGAATACCTAGCTGAGTCAGTAGCTCTCTAGGCCTTCTCGGTCATATTTAAAGTGTGTACAGATCCAGTTAATTAGTGCCCACTATAGTGAAGTGTATCTTGTTCTGAAAGATATTTTTCCTTTGGTTAACATTTGAAGTATGACATGTTTAAGGTAGATTCCCCTCCCAAAAATAAACAAACAAAAAAACCAACCCCTATTTCTAAAAGCCAGCTTAATATATAGAGACCATTTTTAATACTGTTTGTAACCAATGTTACAAGACCCTCCTTTTCCAAGACCCCAGATGAAGGCAGTCAGGACTGTCAGGCCCTTTCCCCATTACAACATGGTGCTATTTTGCAACCGTAATAAACGTTCGCAACAACAGCTAACCTTCACTGAATGCTATGTGCCAGGACCTGTAGCATGTGCTTTACAGGCGTGTCATCTGCACAACACCCCCAGGAGATAGGTAGGTACTGTCATTATAGTGATTTTATAGGTGAGAAACATGGGGCTGGGGAGTCTAAGACGCCCACTCAAAGGCACACAGAGCAAGCAGGCCGGGGTTATGAGCTCGGGTCCGACTCCAAAACCGGTGCTTCTGACAACTTCTCCAAACTGTTCGTAGGGAAAAAGGGAGTCAGTCCCCCAACCCCTTTCACCCCACCACCCCTCTTCAACATACTAACTGTAAAGGATCCAAACAGCCTTTGCCTTTTGCAGTTTTACAAAGAGACCAAATGAAGAGCGGCGTGGGGAGGAGAGGACAAGGGCCAGCTTACAGCAGAGTAAAAAGAGCGAAGCAAGGGCCAAGAGCCTATGAATAAAACTAATCTGAACGTAAGCCACAAAGACCTAAATATTTTAGAACTAAAATCGCACAAAACCAAGAAACTGAAAATGAAGTCGGCTGGTGCAACGGAAGCTGTCACGCCTGATGTTATCCTTCCTTACAGCCACAGAAGGAGACGGAGAACACACACGAGCTGAAGGGCAAAGCTGACTCTACAGCTCCGGGCTTCCTTCGGACTCGCTAGCTCTGGGAAATACAAGCAGTGTGGCTCACACGCCCCTCTCGCTACCCTGCCGCGTAAAACACCTCCGAGGCTGAAAGGGCCTTATGGTCTCGGGAACCCGCCGCTGGAGACTTTCTCACACCCGCTACCAAGTGAAAGCCACACGCCGGGGAGCGCCTGGCCGGCTTTGGGAACAAGCCTCGGCGCGCGGAGGGCTGGCTGGTGCGACTCGACCGCCCCGATCGCCCCCCGCACCCAAGTTTGTGCCAAGTCACCGCGCGCGCTATCGGCCCCGGCCCCGCCACCCCCACCGCGCCCGCCCGCCCGCCTCCGGCACTAATCGGCCGCCGGTGCCCCGCCCTCCTCACCTGCCCAGCTCTCGGCCCGGGCTCAGGCTGTAGCCGTCCTGGAAAGGCTCGGTGCGCACGGCCGTGCGGATCTCCGTCAGCAGCCCCCGGGCCTGAGGTGGGGGCGGCGGCCGGCGCGGCGCGCCCAGACTCCTGCCCGCCCGGCCCGAGCCGGAGGCGGCGGCCGAGGGGGAGCCGCGGCTGCCGGGCTTCTCCAGGGGGATCATGGTGCACAGGCACGCTTCCTTTCCGGCCGCTCCGCTCGCTGCCAGCTGCGGGCGGCTAACTGTCCCACCTGCGGCTGTCTCGCGCGGCTCCAAGAGCCTCCAGGAACCCGCTCTCCCCCTCCGCGCGCTTAAACTGCGGCGCGCGGACTCCCGGCGTCCCGCCCCCGCGTCCCGCCCCCGCGTCCCGCCCCCACGCCCCGCCCCACTCCCTGGCCCTACCCGGTCCCGCCCCTAGCCACCCCCACCCTCGCTCCCTCGCTTGGCGTCGGGAGCGCAGGGTACCTCCCGTGCTCCCTCTGCAGCCGAGAGGGAGAGAGTGCAGCCTGGGGGGCCGCCCAGGCCTCCGGGAGAAGAAAAGCCGCAGGCGCGTGGCCTCAGTCATTTACACACCTGTTGAGCATCCGAGTGCTCCAAAACTTGATCCCTCCGTCAGTGAAAGGCGTAAGAGTTGCCAGCTGGAGCTTTACCTTGGGCGTGTGGGGAGGGGTAATGAGACTCTCTCCCGGCTTCTGTACAGCACGGGGGAGTTGACCACGGCACCTGGTTCCTTCGTACACTGGGAGGAAACCTGGAAGCAGAAGTTGGATAAATATTGTTAACCCCTCACTCTAGCCCTATGCAATAGGCAGTATTATACGTCTGTAGTCTTCTCTGTGTTTAACGTGGTGCTCTCGTCTGGACTTTTTTTTTTAATATTAGGTTATTTTTAAATAGAATTTTTTATTTTGGAGAAATTTTAGCTTCACAGCAAAACTACGTGAAAGGTACAGAGATTTCCCACATACCTTCTCCCTCCACCCCCTCATCTGGTCTTTTCTTAATTGAATTATAATTGACACACAATATTGTATTAGTTTCAGGTATACAAGATAGTACCTATAGTTTTATACATTATGAAATGATCAGCACCATAGGTCTAGTTGCCATCTATCACTATACGAAGTTATTACAGTACTATTCACTCTATTCCGTGTGTTGTACATTACATCCTCATGTCTTATTTATTTTATAAGTAGAACTTAGTGCCTCTTATTCCCCTACACCTGTTTTGCCCCCCCCCCACCTACCTCGCCTCTGGCAACCACCTGTCTGTTCTCTGTATCTATAAGGCTGTTTATGTTTTGTTGTTTTTTTTTAGATTCCATATATAAATGAAATTATATATGGAATTTGTCTTTCTCTGACCTATTTCACTTAACATAATACCCTCTAGGTCCATCCATGTTATTGAAAATGGCTACATTTCATTCTTTATCAGGGCTGAGTAATATTATACACACACACACGCACACACACTGAATCTTGTTTATCCATGCATCTATCATCTATCAGTGGACACTTAGGTTGCTTTCATATCTTGGGTATTGTAAATAATGCCACAACAAACTTAGGGGTACATATAGCTTTTTGAATTAGTGTTTTTGTTGTCTTCAGATAAGTATGCAGAAGTGGAATTTCTGGAACATATGGTAGTTCTGTTTTTAATTTTTTGAGGAACTCTCATACTGTTTTCCATAATGGCTGCATCAATTTACATTCCCACCAAGAGTTCACACCCTCACCAACACTTGTTATTTCTTGTCTTTTTGTTAATAGCCATTCTAACCCGTGTGGGGTGGGTATCTCATTATTGTTTTGATTTGCATGTCACTGATGATTAGTGATGCTGAGCATCTTTTCATATGTCTATTGACCATCTGTGTGTCTTCTTTGGAAAAACTTGTATTCGGGTCCTCTGCCCATTTTTTAATTGGGTTGTTTGCTTTTTGTTATTGAGTTGTGTGAGTTCTTTATAGATTTTGGATGTCAACCCCTTATCAGGTATATAATTTGCAAGTATCTTGTCCCATTTGGTAGGTTGTATTTTGTTTTATTGATGGTTTCCTTCACTGTGCAAGAACTTTTTAGTTTGAAGTAGACCCATTTGTTTATTTTGGGGGCTTTTTTGCCCTTGCCTGAGGAGACATATCCAAAAAATGTTGAGAGTGGTAAAGAGCTTACTGCCTGTGTTCTCTTCTAGGATTTTTATGGTTTTGGGTTTACATTTAAGTTTGTAATCCTCTTTGAGTTTATTTTTGAATATGGTGTAAGAATGTGGTCCAGTTTCATTCTTTTGCATGTAGCTGCCCAGTTTTCCCAAACTGCTTTTTTAGAAATTTTTTAAAAGGTTTTATTTACTTATTTGACACAGAGAGAAAGAAAGGACAAGCAGGCAGGGCGGCAGGCAGAGGGAGAGGGAGAAGCAGGCTCCACGCTGAGCACAGAGCCTGATGTGGGGCTCGATCCCAGGACTGTGGGATCATGACCTGAGCTAAAGGCAGTTGCTTAACCGGAGGAGCTACCCAGGAGCCCCTCCCAAACCGCTTTTTAAAGATACGATCTTTTCCACATTGTATGTTCTTGCCTCCTTTGTTATAGATTGGCCATATAAGCAAGGGTTTATTTCTAGACTCCCTATTCTGTTCTGTTGATCTATGCGTCTGTTTTTGTGCAAGTAACATACTGTATTCATTACTGTAGCTTTGTAGTATAGTTTTATCTAGAAGCATGATACCCCCAACTTCATTCTGTCTCAAGATTGCTTTGCTGTTCTGGGTCTTTGGCAGTTCCACACAAATGTTAGGATTATTTGTTCTAGTTCTGTGAAAAATACTATTGGTATTTTGGTAGGGATTGCATTGAATCTGTAGATTGCTTTGAGTAGTATGGGCATTTAAATAATAATAATTCTTCCAACCTATGAGTATGGTATGTCTTTTCATTTATTTGTGTCATCTTCCATTTCTTTCATCAATGTCTCATAATTTTCAGCATATAGATCTTTCACTGGGGCACCTGGATAGGCTCAGTTGGTTCAGCATCGGACTCTTGGTTTCAGCTCAGGGCATATTCTCAGGGTCATGAGATCAAGCCCCTGAGATCAAACCCCATGTCAGGCTCCATGCTCAGCACAGAGTCTGCTTGTCCCTCTCCCTTTGCTCCTCCCCCCACTCATGCTCTCTCTCTCTCTGTCAAATAAATAAATAAATAAATTTTTTTAAAAAAATGTGTTCCTAGGTATTTCATTCTGTTTGATGCAATTGTAAATGGGATTTTTTCTCTTAATTTCTTTTAGTTTGTTATTAGTGTACAGAAATGCAACAGATTTCTGCATATTAATTTTGTATCCTGCAACATTACTGAATTCATTTGTTCTAATAGTTTTTTTGGTGAAGGCTTTAGGGTTTTCTATATATAGTATCATGTCATCTGCAAATAGTGACAGTTTTACTTCTTCCTTTCTAATTTGGATACTTTTTATTGTTTTTCTTGCCTAATTGCTATGGCGAGGACTTCCAATACTATGTTGAATAAAAGTGGGGAGAGTGGCCATCATTGTCCTCTCCTGATCTGAGAGTAAACCTTTCAGCTTTTCATGTTGACTATGATGTCGGCCGTGGGTTTGTCATATATGGCCTTTATTATGTTGAAGTACGTTTCCTCTATACAGACTTTGTTCAGAATTTTTATTGTCAAATACTTTTTCTGACTCTATTAAGATAATCATGTGTTTTTTTTATCCTTCATTTTGTTGATGTGTTGTATCACATTTATTTGCAGATATTAAACTATCCTTGCATCCCTGGATGAATCCCATTTGATGATGGTGTATGATCCTTTTTTTTTTTTAAAGATTTTATTTATTTATTTGACAGAAAGAGAGAGCACAAGCAGAGGGGGGCAGAAGAGGGAGAGGGAGAAGCAGGCTCCCCGCTGAACAAGGAGCCCAATGTGGGGCTCGATCCCAGCACCCTGGGATCATAACCTGAGCTGAAGGTAGCCACTTAACCAACTGAGCCACTCAGGCACTCCGGTGTATGATCCTTTTAATGCATTGCTGAATTTGGTGTGCTAATTAATACTTCGTTGAAGATTTTTGCATCTATGTTATCAGGGATATTGGCCTGTACTTCTTTTACTCTTGTACCATCTTTTGTTTTTGTATCAGGGGAAAATGAGTTTAGAAGGGTCCCTTCCTCTTTCATTTTTTTTTTTTTTTTTGGAATAACTTGAGAAGGATAGGTGTTAACCTGTCTTTAAATGTGTGGTTAAATTCACCTGCGAAGCCATCTGGACCTGGACTTTTGCTGTTGGTTTGTTTTTTTTTTTTGGTAATTCCTTATTCAATTTTATTACCAGCTATCAGTTTATTCAGATTTTTTTATTTCTTCATGATTCAGTCTTGGAAGATTATATGTTTCTAGGAGTTTACTGACTTTTATCTAGGTTGTCAAATTTGTTGACATATAATTGTTCATAGTATTCTCTTATGGATCCTTTGTATTTCTGTGGTATCAGTTGTCATTTCTCCTTTCATTTATGTTATTTACCAGGTTCTCTCTTTTTTCTTGATGAGCCTAGTTAAAGGTGTGTCAATTTTATTTTTTTCTTTTTAAGGAACAAACTCCTCACTGATGATTTGTTGTTTTAATTTTTTTTAATTCAATTAATTAACATATAATGTATTATTATTTTCAGAGGTAGAGTTTAGTGATTCATCAGTTGCATATAACATCCAGTACTCATTACATCAAGTGTCCTCCTTAATGGCCATTACCTAGTTACCACATCCCCCCACCCACCTCCCATCCTGCAACCCTCACTTTTTTTTCTATAGTTAAGAGTCTCTTATGGTTTGTCTCCCTCCGTGATTTCATCTGATTTTATTTTTCCCTCCCTTCCCCTATGTTCATCTGTTTTGGTTCTTAAATTCCACATATGAGTGAAATTATATGATAACTGTCTTTCTCTGATTGACTTATTTCACTTAGCATAATACCCTCTAGTTCCATCCACATCGTTGCAAATGGTAGGATTCCATTTTTTCTTATTGCTGAGTAATATTCCATTATATACATATATATATGCCACATCTTCTATATCCTTTCATCTGTCTGTGGACATCTGGGCTCTTTCCATAGTTTGGCTATTGTGGACATTGCTGCTATAAACACTGGGGGGCATGTGCAACTTCAAATCACTATGTTTGAATCCTTTGGATAAATATCCAGTAGGGCAATTGATGGGTCATGGGGTAGCTCTATTTTTAACTTTTTGAGGAACCTCCATACT